TTGGTTATTTTGCACCGGATGCACTACCAAACGTTGTCAGCAACCGAAAATCGTACGCTGAGAATTAATTTGACTAAAACACGTAACAAAATAGTGGTGTCCGATGTGATGTGCTGTTCAGTCCTGTGAATAGGGCTTAAAATTTCACGGATGGAAATAAATTGAACAGTTTAATGTCGCGTTGCGCGAGTTCGATCAAAACTTGTATGGTTGTATTTGCGCCTAATCATGTCCACTTGATATCATACGAAATTATTCAAAAATAAACAGAATACCAGTTACGGAGGAAATTCGGGGACGACTTCGAAATGATTTTTGAGAGAATAATATAGTTTTCTTCAAGCAATACACAATTCCCAAATGTCAGGAACACCGGGCGAGAGACATTTCGTGGCTACGACATTTATCGCGACTTAGAGGTTTTGTATAACGAACCAATAAAGATTGTTGAAATTTCTTTCACCTCTATTATTTTTTTCGTAGTTCATCGATAATACAGATTGATCCCTTTTAAATTACCAAAATGCATTATGCTACCCTTATACAAGAGAGGAGTTAATTGAAACAGTTTTCAACCCTGAAATATCGACGGTTTTACTGAGGGTTGTTAGAGTTGTGAACAGTTAATTATCTGAATAGTCCCACAGAACTATGTTGTACTATCCGAGTATTAGTTTTGATCAAAAATATACATTTTAAGAACATTTTCTATGTTTGTGTGCGCTCGGCTGATTGTTTCAAACAATAGTGACTCGCAAACCAGATCACGCCGTGTACCGGTGCGCCGGATTCCCGTCGCCTAATAACCAAGTTTTATGATGCCGAAACTGGACCACGATGAAGTTCCCTTACGCATACATCTCGCTGGGCATTACCATTAAAATTTCGTCTTTTTGCCAAAGCATTTTGGTTCCTTGTGTCTTAGACATGTAGTCAAAAGATATAACTAATCACACAAACCCCCCACAGTAATACCTCGGTATGTGGTGAACGGACTGATCTCAAAAGTTAAGGGATTTGTTTTCAGCTGTTGATTTACGATAAATGCTATGTTATTTGAAGGGTGCGTTTCTCAAAACTACCCATCTATTTGGGTCACAAAACAAGTTGAAAATTGAAACCCGATTCTTTTTTGGTAACAATAGGACTTTCATTTCGGGGCGGTTTGATAACCAAGACGAAAGGAAAACTACTTTTACCCACTCAGCTTTCAGGCATCTTATTGCTGCCCGATAGATAGGGTGTGACTTTTAAAGTCAAAATCTCCATCGTTGTAGCAATATGACGTTTTGTTACTGCATTACCCATTTATTTCACAAAAGTACCTCAAATTTGGCCAGTTACATTGTGTTATACTTTTGTCTTGAGATTGGTTAATAATCCATAGTCCAGTTTTACATCACCATATCAACAAACGACTGTATACAAATCCCAAATGGATGGCCAAGCATTAGATAAAAATAGTATTTTCGTAGGGAATCATACTGGAGCTAGGCATTCCATTGAATGTTCTTTCAAATACGGCCGTAGAAAATACTTATTTATTTTATTGCATCCATATTTCTCGATCTTCTTTATTTAGTCAGCCAATCCAACAATGAACAATATATTCGGAATAGACATTCATATTTCGTTTAGTTTTTAAAAAGGTTTTCTTCACCCCGGTTGATAAATTTCCAACTGGAACTGAAAATGTGCAAAGCATCTGGAGATATGGCTTTATTCGAGTATCATAAAACGATACCAACGCTCTGGCAGATGGTGGAAGTTAAATCTTATTGATTTATGAGTTCTTGTCTATTGCTTGTATCTAACTATACGTGTGTGCAATGTTATTTTTAGTTGATGAAGAAGAGCTTTTCTACTACACTAGACGCCAGTGCATATAGGTACCAAGGTAATGTCTTGTAACCATTTTTTAAACGCAAATCAGAGTCGCATTATTCCGTGGACTAATTTACCTGTGCACATGTCGACTGATCTGAATAAGATAAAAAATCTTAATTTTGTGATCTCTTCTAACTTGTCGGACATTTAAATCTGCCAGCCACTATAGATAGCTGATGAAGTAAAACACTCAATGAACTGGCATGCGTCTCATATGATTGTTACTTGTCTTCGTATGTTTTTTATTGCATCAATATTATACTTATATCCAAAATTTTAATCGCTTGATACTATGTTCAACTCTCATAACACTGATCATTCCACTGCTTTGTGCGTAAACCTATTCTGGACTTGATTTGGTTTGTACAGTTATTAAAACAACGCAAAGATCAATAATTAATTTGATATCCACCAGACACACTTTGTAATATCAGTATTCATGTACACGAAAATGAATCTCATTCACTACCAGAAAACGAGATACAGCATGATTGGTAAATAACGAAAGAATTTTTTTCGTCTCTCGGTCGAAAGTAATTATTTAACAGGATGATATGAAGCCATATAGCACTGAAACTGAGGGAAATTGGTTTAAAAAAAATCCCTTCTGATCGGAACACACTAATTAAACACTGGGCTTCAATGAGAAATGTTCTTGACGATCGACGAAAACTGGGACAGGTGGTCCCGACGGAGGGTGAATGAACAGTATACTTATTTTCTGTAAGATCGTACATATTCGAATCATTCGGAGAGTGTATAATGAAAACCGATGGACATGAGTGGCTGAAGTGGGAGAAAAATGTTTCCCTTGATGATCTCAAGTAGGTTGTTTACATATTCCATTTTCTTCTGCGTTAATTCCTTGGATTTTCATGTGTTGCTTCTCGGATTGAAGATGATGTAGTCTATGCTCAATTTTTACCATTCCAGGACCCCGTTACGCCGGTGAATTAGTGTGTATGTAAAAGTTTGAAAACGAGCAACAGTCCGTGCATCATCACTACCATATCCAGGACACTTTTGGGGGAGTAACTGATTCCTTTATAAGCTATAAAGCTGAAAAACATGAAAATATGGGGAGTAATAACTATTAGCCAGATCATATATCCCGGTTGCACTTTATCTGTTTCTCGGAGATTGCATTTTACCAAGCAAAGAATTCCGGTAAACTGTCACCGAGTGATTCATGTGCTTGNTGAATTCCATGGTTTAATGTGTTGTCTTTCAACCGGGTAGGTTATCTGCAACGGCAGCGTCTCTCAGCCCGAGGGTTCACAGTTCGATGCCGGATAATGACATAAAAGTTGTACGAACTGATAACGAAAGAGGAATAGGGACGAAACAGTTTTTTATCGGCCGTCACATTTTCCTCAACAGTCCAATTATGACATTGGTATGATTGAATAGAAGTCTTACATTCTCTTATTCCCCTCTATCTCCGTGTTTTGCGTACATAGCAAGTACACGTGGACAAAAATATGCTTCTATACTGGAACTATGTCAATCTGATTTGAACAGGGACTACTGATGAAGCACACATCGGTCTCTGATTGTTCAATTTACACAAACAAAGCGAGTTGTACGTGATTCTCTACCCAGAATAGCTCTCCATCCCGAAAATTTGTATCTAACAACACACGAATCAGAGCAGCCTTCCATTCACTAAAACTATCTGAGGAAAACCGTGTTCATTGCCATTTAAGCTAATTTTATGTGCAGATTTTAACTGTTATGAAAAAAGCAATCTACACTGGGAAAACGGAGCATTCTGCAAGTTTAAACAATGGTTCAAGTAGCTATGCTGGGATTATGTGAAGATGTTCGATGGGTCCTGGGATCCGGAAACTTCGAATGCCTTATACAACAAAGATACTTATATGGTACACGTTATGTAGGGAACAAAAATAATATATTAATTTCCCATTTGTGAACATGGTGAATCAAGGTTGTTTTCTCCACTTCTTCTCCTTCTGGGCCATAGATCATTGCCCAGCACGGGTTTTCGCTTTGTACTAATCCGGCTAAGATTACATGAATATGGAGTCTGCTAATACGTTTCCCGTCTTTCCGACCTTGATGAATGTCTGCCTCAACTTTGCAAGAGGTCACTCCGCTAGTTGCGCTCCGCGCCGCTGCCCGGGTTGCTCATGTGCATCTATAGCGACCAGTGACCGAAATTCCGGTCTTCCTTATTCGGAACATCAGGAGTCAGTCTCCTACTTCGAGAGCAATCCATCCTATAACATGTTTGCGCATCAGCACACACACCCACACACACACACTAAAGGCACGATCATACGGATAGGAAATCGCCCTTAATTCAGCTACGAAAATAATACCTAACCGACCGACGGGAATGAATGCAGCAGGTTATACGCGCACGCGCATGCACACACACATGCACGCATCACACAGGTAGGGGGCGGTAGTCGGTGGTGAATTTTCGGGACGACTGAAGCAACTGACAAGCACGTAAAAGGTCATTTGTTGTTGCAATGTTGCTGATCATGAGAATGATCATGTCATAGAATGATAGTACCGTGGCTGGTACACACAGTTTGTCCGTCCGCAATCGAACACCAGGATTCGGAACAACGCTACATCAACCCGGGTGGGGAAAAGCTGCGGGGTTATTCACGTGCTTACACTAGTGCACAAATACACGCGCACACAAACAGTACAGTGAACATATGAACAAAAACGACTTAACGCGGCACCTCGGGAGCACAGGCGCTTCCCGGTAGGTGTGTAGGCAGACAGACAACCAGATAGACGGGCGAACAGATCAGCCAGCCACCAATCAAGCCAGCCAGATAACCGAACAACCACTCACCCAGTCACCCAACGGACTGCACGTATGCTAGTTTCGAATATGCATAAGTAATTGTGGAATCCGTTTCACAGCTACGATTGCTTGCTTGATTTTGAACATTTGTGCATTAGATGCTTTTCAGTTCATGAGGATTTCAGTGTTTAGACAGTGTGCGATGAAATCAATATAGATTAGGATGTGTGATGTTCGCAGGTGAACGTAATCTTCATGCGAGTGACCACTGTGTTTCACAATTACCTCGTAGAGACTATCGCTTTGGAATCACGTTTTACACACGATGATTAGCGGTTCGGGAGGCTACAAAAGAGGTCTGTTCTCTAGTAATCCTGGTGGGAAATCAAGTGCGGCTCAGAATGCCACGGGTGACTCTGCCACAATCGAGGGTAAACGCATCGTTGCGGCCAAAATTGCCAGTTCGGTTGTGGGTGGTGGCGGAGCCCCAATCCGGGTGATCAATGCATTCCTACAGGTGCGAGACTATCAAGGCTTGGATCGATACCTGAGCAAACACAAAATCCCAACGGATATACTAACCTCTTCACTGCAAAAAGCCGCTATGGCCTCTGATATTGAAGCGGTGGACATATTTGCTAAACACGGTGCCAATGTGAACTTTGTGGATCAATTTGGTACCACTTTGTTGCATTTTGCCATGCGGGGCGGTGGAGATGAGCAAGTGATCAAAAGTCTCGTAGCGCATGGTTTGGACTATTCCACTTGGCGAATGGATGGAATGCCTCTGTTGCACTGGGCTTGCAGTATGGGCCTGCTACAACTGGTTCAGTGAGTAAAGCTTCCGTATTTATTTCCATTTTTGTTCAGAAAAAGATAGCCAATTTTTGGATGTACGTTCGTTTATATTCTGAATATTTGTTACTCTTACACCCAGCGTTTAAAATCTACTGAAAGTACAGATTACTTCATGGGTGACATATTTGAATTTAATTGATTATTTGAGACAATTATTACCGAAAAATAGTAGAGAATTAAGTGTTTTATTAAGTAAAAAGAAGCTTCCTCCAAATAGTCAGAGACGCGGATTATAGATAAAATTTGTTCAATAATTTCAAACATGTTCCATACCAAGAGGTGATTAGTGTTTCTAGGAGCGGATTCTCCAGTGGTGGGGTTTTGCATTAGCACTTTAAACGTGATTACCATTTGCATATATGTACTTGTATTGTCAACTTTGTGTAAGCATGAAGCACATATTTCGGCAAATAACGAAAAACGGGTAACTGGTTTTGAAAAACCAATTGGAACAAAGCGGCACATGTGCGTGCAAATGTAATGCTGCTCAACGAGTAATAGCACGCTATCTCGTGGTGAAGTCTGGATTATGGTGTTGGTGAATTTCGGTCCACTTTTCCTCTACTTGGAATGTTTAGACATGAGAGAGTGAGTTGTGAAGTTGTAGGGACTTCTGAAAAGATTGTCAGAAACGGGATATTCGATAATTTTCCAAGCAACAGTTTCATACGCAATAGCTTGTTTATGAGTTCAACAAGCAGGGGACATGAAGCGTGACTAATTCATGTACATTTTGGCGTACTATTAAAAAACCTTAATGGTGACGTAATAAGTAATAAGTAAAAGTTAGCTATAAGGCAAAACCGGTCTAATACATTGAGAAAAAACGGTGAAAGATCAGAGCTGACGTAGAAACGTTTAAGGTTGCACAGGTGGCAGGTGTTTGTCTGCACAATCGGTAACGTAGTACGACCAGTGAAAATCGATATTCAATGTCATCCCAAAGCTCTTTATGTATTCTGTTCTCTATGACTGAGAGGTCGTTGAACTGATCGATATGACATTCCGAGAAGTTAAGCAGGAGATGGAATCGACATCACGAACCACGATAACACAGTAATCACGGTTGAAGATATGAGCATTACATCTCAATATATATCACTACTTGGGAATAAAATTGTCATGGGAAAATAAAATAA